TGTGAGCATGAATCAGGTCCCTACCTCTAAGGTCAAGGTCACACTTGTAAGTCTTGACATGAATTTTTTCATGTCAGTGCATTGCAGATGGTTGTATCTGGTCAGCAATGCTGCCATTCCGGATAGATTTTAAAATAATTTTGCAGAATTATGTATGACATGATGGATGATGTGTCACACATAGGGCTTAAATCCAGTTCAAAGGTCAAGGTCACACTTGTATGTCTAAGTTGAAGATTGTGAATAGATTGCCTTCTTTTCTGCATAGCTTTGTCATTCATGGATGCTCTTTGTGAAATAATTATGCATAAATTTGTTGCTTATTATACCCCCACCACAAAATGTGTGTGTGTGGGGGGGGGGGGGTATAATGGATTCCCTTTGTTGCGTCGTTCGGTCAGTCGGTCTGTCCGTCTCCATTTTCGTGTCCACTCTATAGCTCCTATACCAATTGAAGGATTTTCTTCAAACTTGGCTCAAATGTTCAAAGGGATGTGCAGAACTCATGTTGCCCATGTGTCAGCTCAAGGTCAAGGTCACAATTGAAGGTCAAATATCAAACACAATCAAATATATTAAACAGTATGTCGTGTCCGCTCTGTAAGTCCTACACTAATGGAAAGATTTTCTTCAAACTTGGCTCAAATGTTCACCTCAACTAGGGGATGTGCAGAACCCATGTTGCTTATGTGTCAGCTCTAGGGCAAGGTCACAATTGAAGGTCAAATATCAAATAATCAAATATTACACAGTATGTCGTGTCTGCTCTGTAAGTCCTACACTAATTGAAGGATTTTCTTCAAACTTGGCTCAAATGTTCAACTCAACAAGGGGATGTGCAAAACCCATGTTGCCCATGTGTCTGCTCATAATCAAGGTCACAATTGAAGGTCAAATATCAAACAATCAAATATTACACAGTATGTCGTGTCCGCTCTGTAAGTCCTACACTAATTGAAAGATTTTCTTCAATCTTGGCTCAAATGTTCACCTCAACAAGGTAATGTGCAGAACCCATGTCACCCTTTTGCCGGCTTAAGGTCAAGGTCACACTTGAAGGTCAAAAATTGACTTAGAAAATATTCTTAAATTTTAACATGTATTTGAATATTTCTGAAACTAGCACAGGTATTTGCTTGAAACTTAAAAGATATATGAGGTGTCACAAATAAGATATGCAGGTCAAGTTTCATAACTCTGTATTGCATTTTGACAAAGTTATGCCCCTTTTTAAGTCTTTAAATTTACATACAATCAATACTAGACAATATGTCATGTCCGCTCTATAAATTCTATACTAATGGAAGGATTTTCTTCAACCTTTTACTCAAATGTTCACCCCAAGTTGGGGTCCCCAACTGGGCAATGTGCAGAAACCATCTTACCCTTGTGCCAGCTTAAGGTGAAGACCACACTTGAAGGTCAAAAATTGACTTATAAAATGTTTAGTACATTGAGAAAATGAAAGGTTATTTGTAAGTGTTTTCGAACATGATTTCATAATATATATTCCCTCACTGGAAACTTTAGATGATCATAATCCTTTACTCTAGCATTGTGAACTTCCTGTATAAGTGTCATGATAAGTCAGTGGTTAACATGTTGTACTAGTATTCTATGGATCTCTAGCCGTGTGGGTTCAAACCCTTTCAGGGGCTTATAATTGTTTCCTTGAGAAAGAAACTTGACACTCAATGATCAGTACTGGTTGGTTCCAGGAATGAATTTAGAAAGTGTGTCTATAACCTTATAGCTTCCTACACAATCAAACTAAACTAAATTCTGTATAAATTCAAGGACCTGTTACAAAATCAAAGGAAAACTGAAACAATGTAAAATTCATATAAAATTGTTTACTTCTAAGTGTGAAACAGTTGTTAAAGATTAAATATACATTAAACACAGCAGTTTTGATTCATTAATCAACAGAGAATACAAATGAGCCGTGTCACGACAAAACCAACATAATGGGTTTGCGATCAGCATGGATCCAGACCAGCCTGCGCATCAGCGCAGTCTGATCAGGATCCATGCTGTTCGCTATCAGTTTCTATACTTGTTATAGGGTTTGTAAGCAAACAGCATGGATCCTGATCAGACTGTGCGGATGCGCAGGCTGGTCTGGATCCATGCTGGTCGCAAACCCACTATGTTGGTTTTGTCATGACACGGCTCAAGTATTGTTTTTAAAGATGTTTTTAGTCCCCTACCGTACCGGTTTAACCGGAGGGGACTTTAGGTTTACCCTCCGTCCGTCTGTCTGTCTGTCCTTCTGTCCGTCAGTCTGTCAGTCCGTCAGTCCGTCCGTCCACAAAACTGGATCCCGCGATAACGCAAAAAGTACTGAAAATATTTTTATGAAACTTGATATATGGATAGATGGCAGTATGGAGATTATGCACGTCTTTTTTTTTTCTTCCTATGTTGAAAATTCTGATTGCTATGGCAACAAATAGTCTGAAAATATGGCAAATTTAACACATAAACTGGATCCAGTGATAACTCAAAAAGTATTGAAAATATTTTTATGAAACTTGAAATATGGGTAGATGGCAGTCTGGAGATTATGCACATCTTTTTCTTTTCTTCCTATGTTGAAAATTCTGGTTGCTATGGCAACAAATAGCCTGAATTTCAAGATTTCTGATTTAAATTTTTCAGCTTTTTGACTATATGTTCTTTATTTCTTAAGGTGTTTACTTCAAACTTTAAAATATAAGTTTCTGGTCATCAACTACATCATATGTGACAAGGTTTTATAACTCTAGCACAAAAAATATCAGTATTACCTCCCTTGAACTTAGATTTTTTAGGGGAAAAAAATGTTGTCTTTTTAAATAACTTCTTTATTTCCTAATGTATCTACTTCAAACTTCATATATATGTTTCTTATTATCACTCGACATTTTTGAGAAGGTTAAATACTCTAGCAAGACTATTTCCAGAATTATGTCCCCCTTGAACTTAGATTTTTTTCGAGAAACTGGTATTTTCACTCCAACTTCTTCATTCCTTATAGGATTTACTTTAAAATCCCACATCGTAATAATATGACAAGGTTGTATAAACATAATTTCCTTACTAAGCATGGAAACTTAACACATTACTGTGATATAGACAAACTTATTTTATTATGTTTTGTGGTTGATATTTTCAAATACAGACTTCAGCCTCAAATTCATTATAAATGGCAATACACAGGAGTGTATGACAATTAAAGAACTTTTTGAGGGACCGGTAGGGGACTACTGTATTGCCCGCAATACTATCAAATGCTTGTTTTACTTGATTTGCATAGTATATTTTTGAAACATGTTGCACTGTTGTCTTATTGAATAAATTTAAACAATGAGTGTTGTTGTTTTTTTCAGGTATAAAGATCAATATTGAAATATGTTGTAAAAATTCAGTCATGTATTCTTGCAAACTGTTACCAATGAAAAATGAGTCTATTCTTACCAAATGTATACATTGTGTCTTCAGCAGTTAAACATTTTACACATAAATTGTGATAGAAATAGAATTCTATATATTTGGACATTAGGAACATTCTTTATGTCTGTAAGTGGAAAGTTGTACTTTTATTATTAGATTATTAAGAAAGATCTAGAATTATAATTGTCTTAAAAGCTTAAGTGTGTAAAGCTATACAGAGCTTTAATTACCTTATACTGGGGCTAGAACCCTGAGGTAAGGGGAATTTGGCGTTTTGTTTAGAAGAATAGGACAATTTTCTCTGTTAATAAAAAATACTCATAATACTCATAATGTTAAGTATTACATATTTTATTTTGCATAAACCAAATTTCAATATGATGTTGTTGAGGGGCTTCATCTTTAGGCAGGCAAATTAAAAAAAAATGGTTTTCAAAAGTAGGGGGAAAATGTATATCAATTGGAGAGGGAAATGGGACTGAATTTAGGCCCCAAAAGTTGTAAAATGAGGGCCCTGCAATGTAGCTGCTCCCTGCAGTTTACAAAATTTTGTTTGAATTTTGGAAAGAAAAAAACTTACGAAACACCTGTATGAAAGAAATATGTTTGTATGTTTCCTTAAGTTTAAGTGGGGCACACAAAAAGTTATTACTAAATGGTTCAAACCTTACATGAAATAGCAGCATCTGGTGGATGCTGAAACCAAAGGTGACCAGTCTTTGCCGTCAATATAAAGCCAGGACAGCCTGCACATCCATGTTGTCTGTCCAGGCCCTGTACTGTTGGTAGCTCTAGTTTTATGTTCTTATATTGAAATCCAGTGTCTATTCTAGAAGGGGTGATGAGGGATCCACTCATATTTTTGAGAATTCTCCTCTATTTTTTGAGAGGCAGGGGAAAATTTTTACATAGAGTAAGAAGGAAAAAGATCAACAAATGGAATAAATTCTCACTTTTCGGTAATTATCCCCCCTGTTTTTCGATTCCTAGAAAAGTCACTGGAAATCCCTTAAACTTTATGTAGACTGTTTCAAATTCACAGAATTACGAAATTACACAAATTCAGCAGGTTTTAAGGAACTCCACTGAGTTTTTGTTGTTGTTTTTTTAACTTGATAGGGCTGGAAATACTTTAACATTTGATGTATGTCTGGACCAATAACGTGTGTGCAAAATTTCAGATCATTCCCTCAATTCTGTTGTTTTGGTCAAAATGGCCAAAGGATGAAAAGCGTATAAATGCTTATAAATCAAAATTGGCTGAGAAGAACACAAAAAATATTTTTGTATTCAGTTCAGAGCATATTTCTGTAATATATATTACCATTGTTTCAGCGCCCAAGTTGTTTAATGTAAGAATTTAAAACTTTAAGTTTGGTTCCTGTAAAGGCTAATTCTTAGAATGATTTTAAGACACATCATCATCATTTAATATCATGTTTCTTTTCATTATTCACACTTAATTCTGAAATTGCCAACTGTGAGGAAGAAATGTATCATTGGGTTATAGTACTTGTATGGCTGTATCAAACATTCACCTTTTTTTTCTTTGGCTTTTTTTTTAGAAAAGTCGAGAGGAAGTTTTACCTGAGGATACTGTTGAGATAACAGACTCTGATGATGCAGCAAAAAATACATCCCCTACTAAACAGTCACTGGATGATAGCCAGTCAAAGGTAGAGATAAATTAAAAGTACCTTCGTATAAACTGATTTTTACATTTGTGGTCAGGTTTTTGCAGGTTTCTTTGATAAAATTTTGTTTACTGTATAAGTATCATATAATTTGATGAACATTAAAAGTAAGAGGTCATATCGAGGATACTGAATGAATACCTATTTAATACTTACTTTATTGAACAAGTTGAATAAAATCATATTTTAAGAGCCTCTGGCAAGCATGATAATGTTTTTTTAGAAAGGTAAATAAATTTAGTATTGAATCTTTACAAATATACATATATGTACTATTCTAAAATAAGAACGGTTAATAGGTGAAATAGTCATGTTTCATTGACGTGCCTACAGTGTGACGCTAACATTAGCGTGCTTTATCCCTATGTTTCTATGTAACCCAAATGATGTCACGTCAAAGTGTTATTACATTAGTGTAATACTTTTTTTATTAAATGGGTTTATTACAGTATTGCACCCTGGCTTATATGATAAATAAGATAAGTATTGGTTGATGCTGCATCAACTATACAATCTCCATTTCTCATATAAATATACAACTAATAAATGGTTTACCACATACAAGTCATATACATTTTAAAGATTATATTGTATTTACATTGTCAATTTCATTGTTGATAAAGTAGGTGTTTCGTGGAAGCACTAAGAATTTAACTATTTTTTCTCTGTTTTTCAGGCAATACAGAAAAGGGCTTTAAGAAATGATGAGATTAATGACTCACTAAAAGATACAGATTTAAACTTGAAAGATGGAAAGTCTAGAAAGGTAAGATAATCTTTTATTGCATATTTTGTGAACATAGAAAGTGCTCCTGCAGTTCTTACAAAAATGTAAATGTTTAAGTAATTAGTTGTACTGTGTTTTGTGGTTGATTGATTTTGAAAGTATTGTCCTTTATCTAAATGCCGTATTTACATATTACCATAAATTGTTTTGTGTTGAAAGTCTTGGCCTAGCTAAATGCCTTGTTTATATATTAGCATAAATTTTTTAATGTTGAAAGTATCAGCCTAACTAAATGCTATGTTTACATATTTTATGTAGAAAGTATCGGCCAAACTAAATGTCATGCTGACATATTACCATAAATTGTTTTATGTTGAAAGTATCAGGAAAGTATCGGCCAAACTAAATGTCATGCTGACATATTACAATAAATCATTTATGTTGAAAATATCGGCCAAACCAAATGCAATGTTGACATTCTACAAAATATCATTCATGTTGAAAATATTGGCCAAACTAAATGCCATGTTGACATATTACAATAAATCATTTATGTTGAAAATATCGGCCAAACTAAATGCCATAAAATATATTGTTATGATTGGGATTCTTGCAAGAATTACTGATTCTTGTTATAAATTAAACGGTGAACAAATTAGAAGCTAAATTGATTGTTTCTTATGTGATTAGTGATACATGTGACACATATGATGGTAAAATGTTTTGTTCCATGTTAGAGATCACAGAAAAAGATGTTATCTGAAGACATTCCTGAGATTATTGATCTACAGAATGATTCTGATATTGTACCAACGTCTCAGCCCACTCAGGATGCTGTCTCTGTCAAGGTATGTACCAACCTCTCAGCCCACACAGGATGCTGTCTCTGTCAAGGTATGTACCAGGCTCTCAGCCCACACAGGATGCTGTCTCTGTCAAGGTATGTACCAACCTCTCAGCCCACTCAGGATGCTGTCTCTGTCAAGGTATGTACCAACGTGTCAGCCCACACAGGATGCTGTCTCTGTCAAGGTATGTACCAACGTCTCAGCCCACAGAGGATGCTGTCTCTGTCAAGGTATGTACCAACCTCTCAGCCCACACAGGATGCTGTCTCTGTCAAGGTATGTACCAGGCTCTCAGCCCACACAGGATGCTGTCTCTGTCAAGGTATGTACCAACCTCTCAGCCCACACAGGATGCTGTCTCTTTCAAGGTATGTACCAAACCTCTCAGCCCACACATGATGCTGTCTCTGTCAAGGTATGTACCAACCTCTCAGCCCACACAGGATGCTGTCTCTGTCAAGGTATGTACCAACGTCTCAGCCCACACAGGATGCTGTCTCTGTCAAGGTATGTACCAACGTCTCAGCCCACACAGGATGCTGTCTCTGTCAAGGTATGTACCAGGCTCTCAGCCCACACAGGATGCTGTCTCTGTCAAGGTATGTACCAACCTCTCAGCCCACTCAGGATGCTGTCTCTGTCAAGGTATGTACCAACCTCTCAGCCCACACAGGATGCTGTCTCTGTCAAGGTATGTACCAACGTCTCAGCCCACACAGGATGCTGTCTCTGTCAAGGTATGTACAACGTCTCAGCCCACACAGGATGCTGTCTCTGTCAAGGTATGTACCAGGCTCTCAGCCCACACAGGATGCTGTCTCTGTCAAGGTATGTACCAACCTCTCAGCCCACACAGGATGCTGTCTCTGTCAAGGTATGTACCAACGTCTCAGCCCACTCAGGATGCTGTCTCTGTCAAGGTATGTACCAGGCTCTCAGCCCACACAGGATGCTGTCTCTGTCAAGGTATGTACCAGGCTCTCAGCCCACACAGGATGCTGTCTCTGTCAAGGTATGTACCAGGCTCTCAGCCCACACAGGATGCTGTCTCTGTCAAGGTATGTACCAGGCTCTCAATAACTTCATTAATAGTTGAATCTTACACGTAAATTATAAAGGATTTCATTACTGTTCCCTCTAAATTTATGGGTCATTGCAAAGACCTTCAAGTAGGCAGCTAAAATGTTATATAATTATAATTATTTCAGAATAAAACATGCAAACTGTTTTTGTTATACATTGTATCTAGAATGTAGAACTTAATTTATGAAATCTTTGCACTTTCTCACATGAGTAAAAATTTATATTTTGTTTGAAATTGGAATGCATAATAAATTGTTTTATACCTTCTATTTCTGACCTCTAGTCTGAAGATGTGATAGGTATACAGGGATATGATTCTGACGGTGAGATGAACAAAGATGATGGAAAATCTTCTATAGATCAAGTAAGCTTCCTATATATGAGCCGCGTCATGAGAAAACCAACAAAGTGCGTTTGCGACCAGCATGGATACAGACCATCCTGCACATCCGCCCAGTCTAATCAGGATCCATACTGTTCACTATCAGTTTCTGTACTTGTTATAGAGTTGGTAAGCGAACAGCATGGATCCTGATCAGACTGCGCGGATGCTGGTCGCAAACCCATTATGTTGGTTTTGTCGTGACGCAGCTCATATAATGAATGAATCAAAACTACCATAAATATTAGTAATATGTGTTATTGATCATGATAAAGCAAAATGATTTCTGCCTTGTCATTGTAAATGGAAGTATTAACAAACATATCATGACATATATAAATATGTCATAAAATGATTTCTGCCTAGTCATTGTAAATGGAAGTTTTAACAAACATATCATGACATATATAAATATGACATATTTTACTTTCATATTAATAGGTCAAAACTGAAATGAATACAACCAAACACTCCTTCTGGTGTTTTAAGTAATAGTTTATATAGAAATTACTTGGAATTTGTGAACAATGTATAATAGCCTCGTAACATTAAAAAAGAAAGATTATATTTGGGGATTTTGTATATATGATTTGCCTCTCCTTGCAAGTGTATGTCATATATTTTTTCTTTGTCAGTGCTTGTGTTTGTTGTGATGATTTTATGATATTTTGCAGCAGGAATCAGTAAGTCAAGTGTCCATAAATGAGGACAGTTCCCAGAATTCCACATCTCCTGTTGCTGGTACAGGTGTAAAGGGTAGTGACTGGGTAAAGTCATTACAGCTCAAAACTCCCAGTAAATCTGAGGGTCAGACTGATAAACCAGAGGTAGAAGATTCTGCCAAGAAACGGAAGAAACATTCCAAGTATGTCAGTTATAAAACATATGAATCATTGTTGGAAAAGTTTGTTAGAGTATGTACTAGGCATTTATTTATGAAATTAATGCTTAAAAAGTAAATTCATATCTAATTTCAAATTAAAAAAAAATAGATTTGTATGCCGTCTGATCAATAGAACGGGTCTATCTCTCTGATTTTCTTTTTGTTTCTTTGGTCTGTTTGTTTGTCTGTTTGTCATACTACCTTAATCTTGAACGAAACATTGAGTTATAGCACCTATGGTCTCCAGCCTCTGTAAAATTAAACAGTTTAACCAGTCGGAATTTATGATGAATGTAAGCACAGTAGACAACTTCTGACTCTAAGATATACTGAAAAATTTACCCTCGTCATGCTGAATTTGAGTTGTGAACTAGGATTTAGAACAGTCAATAAGTAGTTCAATAGTTCAAGGACTTTCATTACTTGCAAGAACTGATGAAGTTGTGTTATATAAATAATTTTGATTATAGAAGTGGTTTAGCAGAGCAGTTGAGCAGACTTCAGTCAAGAGATAAATCTGCAGTAAGAATATGGAATCATCAACAAGGCAAACCATCAGCCTCACAAGGTATTTAACCACTTAAATATATAAAACAATGATTATACCTCAACTTAGGCTGTCTGTAGTTTTGCCCCTTCATATTATGCGTTTTAATACTTTTTGCAAATTAACTTTTTTTTGTGGGGATCAGATCTATATGCACCATATAGATCTGGTTTTTTACTGTCCGTCCATAGACAAAACAGTGAAATGTTAAGGCATCCACGTCCTTGTTATGTAATAGTTTATGTAGAAGTGTGTTCATTAAAGGCACATTATGCCATAAAAGTCCATATTATTCAGGTCTTAAGAAATGTTAAACATGGGTTTAATTATGTTTGAATAATGGATTTAGGGCATATTAGATTTTTAACAACTGAAAAAGAAGCGCTGGACTTACATTAATGTGTCGAAAAGTTATAAAGCATATTGTAAACAAAGGAGTATTTTGACGTCCATACAAAATACTAATTCACTATAAATAAACCATTTGCAAACAGAGTTATTACTCATATTTGCAGAAGATGTATATGTATATGGCAAATGCCTATTTATTTGAAAACTGGTATCAAAAATTCAAAAGTTATTTGAGAAATTAAGTTGATTTCTGAGGCATAATGGGCCTTTAACACCAAAGAATTATTACACTCAAGAATGAGAAATGATCATTTCAGTTACATTTGTACATTTGTAATTTCTTGACATGGTACATTTGTAATTTCTTGACATGACAGTGTTTTATTCTGCAATATTGATTTCCAGCTTGACAAATGGAAAGAAACAGTATTAAAAATATGTTCATTCACTGTTGAAACTGGCATCAAAATGTACTTTAATTTAAAATACATATATTGTTTACTTACAGATTCCAAATCAATTCAGCTCCAAGTGATAGGTTTTGAAAACCTTTACTCTATGCAGCTAGTAAAATGTGTTCTCTGTAAGAATAAAGAAGCTAGCCAGGCGGGTTCAGATTTGAAAGAAAGTGACATAGAAGATAAGACAGAGGGTGATGTACCACCATCTAAGAAATCTCGAGATGACGACACTTGTAACGAGAGACTTGTAATGTTTCCTGCCAGCCAATCAGAACAGTTAAACCTGCAAATTGGAAGTCAATTTAAAATATTTCCACCATGGTAAATTGTTTAAGTTTGGTTTATTAACTATTCAAAGAACAGTGTTGCTATCCTACTCCATTTTGTGTACCCAGTGATATAATAATTTAGATAAATTTTGTTCGCAATCTCATATCAAGTACTGAAGGTATTCACTTGAAACTGTTATGTAGATTTTGACTGGATTATAGCTTTTTGTGAATATTTAAAATTTCTTGTTTTTCATGCCAGATATCTTCACTGAAAATATTCTTTTTTATGTGTTTTGAATCATTTTGGCTAAAACGGCAATTTTTAAAAATTTTTATTGTATGTTACAGGCAGCAGCTAGAGTTAAATGATGGGCAGCAAATATTACTGTGTACAAAATATTGTCATATTGTACATCAACCTGATATTACCACAGTTACGTTACCTTCCAATGATGTTGATAAACTGACAAATGTTGTCACAGCTTCATGGAATTGTCCATGTGTTCAGGGTATGTAAAAAATAGATTTGTTGATATGTTCAGGGTATGTAATAGATTTGTTCATATGTTTAAAGTATGTAGTAATTAGAATTGTCCATGTGTTCAGGGTATGTAAGAAACAGAATTGTCCATGGCTTGACTTTATAGATAAACAAATTTTTACATGTTTTCAAGGTATGTAATAAAGTTAAGGGAATTGTGTAAAGGGAATTGTCCATATGTTCAGGGCTTGTTATGAATGGAATTGTCCGAGTGTTAAGGACATGTTATGAAGGGAATTGTCCATGTTTCTAGGACATGTTTGAAAGGGAATTGTCCATGTGTTCAGGGCATGTTATGAAGGGAATTGTTCATGTGTTCAGGGCATGTTATGAAGGGAATTGCCAATGTGTTCAGGGCATGTTATGAAGGGAATTGTTCATGTGTTCAGGGCATGTTATGAAGGGAATTGCCAATGTGTTCAGGGCATGTTATGAAGGGAATTGCCAATGTGTTCAGGGCATGTTATGAAGGGAATTGTTCGTGTGTACAGGGCATGTTATGAAGGGAATTGTCCATGTGTTCAGGGCATGTTATGAAGGGAATTGCCAATGTGTTCAGGGCATGTTATGAAGGGAATTGTTCGTGTGTACAGGGCATGTTATGAAGGGAATTGTCCATGTGTTCAGGGCATGTTATGAAGGGAATTGCCAATGTGTTCAGGGCATGTTATGAAGGGAATTGTCCATGTGTTCACCGCATGTTATGAAGGGAATTGTCTGTGTGTTCAGCATATATTTTAAACAAAAATGCCTAATTAAGGAGCATCCAAAAGTAGAGAGCATGGGCAGATTGTAATGATATACAGGAGGGCCTGGCTCTATCCTTGTGGCATTAGCATGTCGATATTGACATTAACATTTATAAGGTTAATGTTTATATTATATTTCAGGTTTATGTTGTTCTCAAACTCTTTGTCCAGCATATCAGTTTCCATCAACTCCAGGACAATTTCAGGTAGGGCAACTTAGAGTTGAATTATAAAATGTTTGGTAAATTCTGTCTAAAAGTTCACTTTGATGCTTTGCTTTATTCATATTAATGCATATGAAATATTTAATTACCATCTTTTATTATATTTTCAGTATGGGTAATCATCTCTTTTTTTCCCCAAAAGAAATATTGACATCTACAGACATGCTTAAAAAGAGTATTATGCATTCTATGTCATAATGAAAAATTAAAAACAGGCCAATTATTTATTTCAGGAAACTGTACCGGCTCAACAGAGTACCTCCACTCAGGGTAAAGATTCAAACTTCAACTTGCTCAAGTCTGCGGACACCCCTTCCACCAGTCATTTATTCACTGTCTCTTCTAAACCATGTGAACCTTCTATATCTAAAACAGGAAGTAGTTCAAAGGAACCTGACATTTGTGACTCCTTATTAAAGAGTATTGAGTCATGTAGGACAGCTGTAGATGGTGGGGGAGATGGTTATAGTGGGACAGTATCATTTAGCGGACATGTTCATAGGGCAGTCACTGTTAGAAATGGCAGTTCTAAAACAAGGTATTGGTTCTTTACACAGCTTGAAATTGGTGATTGTAAAAATTAAAGGAATATAAAGAATATTGATATATACATGTAGTTATTTACATTATATCTGCAAATGCTGTTTACATTATTTTATACAATTCTGTATTATTTAAAAGAAATAAATTGATATAATATTCCATACAGATGTCACCTGTTGGTAGAAGATAAATGCGGAAGTATATGTGAAGTGCAACTATCAACAAAATCTTTGGCTAGAGCTGACTTTACTACTTATACCTGTGAGAATAACACATTTAAATTCACTGGCCTTGCAGTACGTGAAAGGTTAATCAGGGATAGGTAAGGGAAAAGCTTTTTAATTTATTATCTTTATGCTCCTTAATTGTGCCTTTTTCAAAGAAGTAGAGTTACAGTATTGCTTTGCTTCTCATTTTTCTGTCTTTTTTATAAACAAGACCATATCAAACCAATTGCTAGAGAAGCCTTTGGCCTAAATCTTTATATTTGAATTGAAGGTTGATCATGACTTGTAGATGATACTATTTTGGGGTCAGTTTGTCCAAGGTCACTGTGACCTTGATTGGTTGGTCAAAAGTCAAGGTCACAGTGAAGTTGACCACAGTACCTTGTATAAGCAATAACAAGAGACCAACAGTCCTAAGATTTGGTGTGAAGGTCAATCATGCTCACCTCTAATGATTTAACAGTAAGTTGGTCAATGGTCAAGGTCACTGCAACCTTGACCTCTAAACCTTGTCTGGCCAGTTTATAGAGAACACTTTGGCCTACAGCCCTTAGATTTAATAAAGATGTTAGTCATAACTATTTATCACAGGAAAAAATGCCCAACATGTTAAACATATGTGAAACCCATGTTTTACATATGGTTTGAAACGTATGATGTTTCCAAGAAAAGTACCCATATGTTTAACATATGGTGCACTTAACATACATAAACATGTGGTGCAAGTGGCAATTATTATTGCCTCTAATGAAAATGTTATAAATACATAAATGTTAGTTTGAAATGTGATCAATTGTCTACAATGGTAAATACCTGGCAGATGTGTCATTTGAATTCATATATATAATCACTAGCAATATTTTCATACATACTTGAACTAACTTACATTGTATAACACAGCTCAATTCCTTACTTTGAGGTAAACTGTAAATTTACTGAATCAAAAAGAGTTTACGATTATCCAATTAAAATCAACATTGTAGACATGTAGTTTTATAACCATGTAAATTGACAATTTCAGAAATGAACGTCTGTTTACAATGGTGGATAGTGTATGGTCTGGTAAATGTGTCATTGATAGTCAAGATAGTTCTGAGTCACAGAATTTGATGGTAAGTAACCAGCCATTATTTTAAGATTGTTATGATTATGTGGCATTTGTTGTTTTCAATTTAACATTTCTTAATATAACTCATGGTTAATATGTAATGTCATGAGGTTATATCAAAAATTACCTGTCACACAAAATAACAGAGGGTTATTGCACCTTTTTTTCGAACATCATTGTCTGCTGAAGCACAAGGACTTGGGCTCGGGCTTTAAATGTGTCATTGTGCTTCTTCAAAAAAGGTGCATTAGTGCTATTCTTACATTAAAATGTCTTAATCTGTATTTCTGCGTTTCATGAACCCCATTTCATATTAAGAAACCATTTTGCCATGTTTTTCACATGCTAGTGTGATGACAGTTATGTTTTGATAATAAAACAACACAGGCTGTCATTGAAATAAGCTGTTTTTACTAGGGCTGGGAACGAATAAAGAATTTGATGTTCGAATATTCGTTTTCCATATTCGAATATATTCGAATATTCGTTTTTACAACATTTGTTCCAATATTTCTGGTTGACGTATACGTATCCCAAATTGATTGCGTCGAATACTATACTACTATAATATGCTTGGAATTATCGACGATTGAAAATAACTTTATTACTTCGTAAAAGTTTTTTATTTTTATAAATTGTAATTCGACATATATGTTTACTTTTGAAATGAATTTATAATTTGATTGCCTTTTGTTTAGTTAATCCGACTGCTGATCATTTGTCTTATTTACGGGAGGTAACTCACTTGACTTGATTGACAGTAATATGAATTACCGTGGCCTCTAAGCCCCCATAACACATAATTATATTGAAACTTAACTTGTATTAAATATTTTTTTTATTTATTTATAATTTTAGATAAGGTTTAAAATATTCTTTAGATAAATTTAGCTATAACGCAGTAAATATCACACAGAGTCTAATTTCTACGGAATATATATATTCTGACGGAATATATAGACACTTACCATGCTTTCATAAAGCACCGATTAATGAGTGTCGATTTTTTCGTCTTCACAAAATTTAAGACAATTATTGATTAATCGGAAAGATTATAGCACAGAAAACAATAAATAAGGTAATTAAAATTCAGAAAAATTACATTATAAACTGTTAAACAGGTAAATTGCAAACTGTGAAACGGGTGCCCTTTTGATCAACTAGACCCCAAAGTTTTCACAGTTAATTGGCGATAATCGTTGACACGCGTCATACAAACGTGTGAACACCTGGTAAAGTAAAAATGGTTTAATTTTACGTTCTTAACCCTTTACCTCATATATACGCGAAACAACGCACTTTCGACCCCCTCCCCCCCCTTTTTGTAGGCCTCAAATAGTGAAAAAATGTCCTATTTGGGCCCCAAACACATGTTTTCGTTTGAGAAATTTTGCTAAAAAAAATGAGCACTTTTTCGGCGCCGTCCCCCATCCAAAAGATACATCAGGGGGTTGCCAGAAGGGGGATGTGCCCCTTTCTGTTAGGGGGGTTTGAATGAGTCCCCCCTCATCGCCAAGAAAATTTTGGACTTGTGAGAGGCTAAAAATGACCCCAGGTCGATCATAATGTAATGTGTAACCAACGCTGAAAAGCCTTTGACTCTATCTCAATCCCTTGAGAAGTTGCAGCACTTTGAAATAAATTTTGATGGAAAAAATCGAGGCAAAATAGTGATTTTTGGCAATTTTGAGATGTCCCCTCGTTGCCATGGTAACAGGAAATTTAAGACTGAGCATGTTGTTACAAAGGCAATGGTCCAGTCAACATTTGTGCCAAGTTTGATTAGTATTGAAGCATTTTTCATAGTTTCATAGCAGTTTGAACTTGTAACACGAGGCTTTTCAGTGAAAACGGCCTTTTTTCACAATATGCTCATGGGGGAAAGGGTTAAGTGAAATTTGAAAGTAATAATAAAAAAACCTTTCTGTTTTTTCGAATATTTGTATTCGCTTTTCAATGTTCGAATATTCCGTAGTGTTTCGAATATTGGAATATTCGAATATAACTCCTGGCCCTAGTTTTTACATTGAGCCCTTGGTCACATATGTTAAAAAAAGTGCAACAATGACACATGGTTAAGAGAATCTATCTATTAATGAGCGTTTTTTTCTTTGTTAATTTATACCTACATGCACAGATTTTTATGCCAGAATATCTTGTTTGTGTTTGAAAAAATTAACATTTGAATGTTGAAAATAAAACTTAATTAGAAGAATAATTTATATTTCAGGGTCGAATGGCTGAACCTCCAGGTTTCTGTTATATTCTTCATGAGACTAATATGTCACCATTTACTCTTGAAAAATGCTCCAGCAATATTTTACCTTGTAAATCTCCTGTATATATACAACTGTCTGAGGTGTGGAAATCTGAGGCTATGAGGAGAACATCGTGTGTTGTTAAAGTGTTCTATATACATTCAAAGGTATGGTACAGTAAAAAAATAGTTCTATATCTATTCAAATATTTAAATGTTAAAAATATAGCACTGGCATATGACATTAAGTGATCTGTGAAAACTGGGGACTAATATGGCTGAGTAGTTATAATATACAACTTCAAATTACTTGCCTCCTAGATCTGTGGGTTCGATTCCTGTCAGGGAATTTACATTATTTTTTGTATGGAAGCTATCCAGGTATCTGAAAGATAGGTGGTTCTACTCAGGTGTCAGCTTGTGCCTGAAATAATGCACAAATGTTTCCTTGGCCAGTAAAGGTGGAAAATCCTCTTATTACCTTACAGTATCAATGTGACTTTAAACCCGGCATAAATAACAACAAAAAACACTGTAAAAACTGGATTAGGTTGACATAAAACCAAGAATGTTATAAGTAAATGTTTTGAAAGAACTTTCGTTATGTATTATGTGAAAGAATGACTTATGTTGTATATTTTATTTTGTAGGAAAATATGACAATATTATACGTAACAGACTATAGTTTGAGGAGTCTTCACTCGTACAGTATGATACATGTATCCAGTGCCTGTGATTTCCCATCTAAACTGTCATCTTTGTCAGAGAGGGCTGTACTCATTCTGAGGGATCTTTTTCTGAGTCAGGGTAAGTTTTGTTTTCATTGGTTAATAAAACACACAGAAAAAAGGAAATATGTTGGATATTTCTCTTCAAAGAAATAATAATATTTGGGAGTCTGCCTTGCTGGATTGTAGGACAAAATAAATCGACTAAAAAAATGAATTTTTCTCATCCTTCTTTTTGTATTTCTGTTACACATAAATATTTCTTGTTCTCATTTAAGAAATTCATTATAATTGCAACACCTTGACGTATTTATATGTTACAAAAAGATCAGGTTGATTTATTCTATTTCATTACTAAGAAACTAGTTGATTCTTTTAGTACTTACCTGGATAGTCTTTTTCTCCTACTTGCATTGTTAACAGGTCCTCATAAACCTTGATCACACTCGGAAAGGGAATTCACATGTATATTGTATTGTTTGAAAATAATTCTGGAAAAATTTTGAGGATGGAACAAATTCATGTTAAGTCAGAAATCCTACATTAAGTTTGAAAAAAAATTCAGTTTGAAAAAAAAAGCAAAATGTGTTTATTTATTTATACATACAGTTTTCTTTAATCTGTAGAATAACATTTTAACTGTATTAAGACTGTCATATTTAGAATTTCTAGTGTTCAGTTAACTTGCTTTGTCTTAGTATTAATGGATAATAAAACATTTTCTTTTGTCACATTAGTTAATGTTGTATATATCGATTATTTTAGGAGAACTACATGCTGATGAATATACCAGTATATCTCTATCAAATGACATGTTAAACGTTGATGCTTCACTAAGTAGAGAAATAAGTAGATTACAGCAGGTGTCCATTGATGTAACAGATATACATAAAGGAGTCACCGAAGATGATTTATGTATAATCAAAGGTTAGAATTTTAGCAAGTTTTTAAATGTAACTTTCCTTAACTTAAATTTCTTGATGTATTATTTAGTAGATGTGCCCTCAATTGTTGATTATATTAGACAGGCACATTCAAGGTAGCTTTACCTTGACATAAAACTTTTTGTGCTCCTTAATATATTATTTTAAATAGTTATCTTAGTTAAATTATTAGTATTCCTTTTTAGAGAACTAAATTCACAAAAAAATATGTGGCAATTATTTGGAAATCACCTTTTAATATAGAGGTCCCTGTACTACATAAAGTTGCAGTTCTCACATAAAGTCACATACTTTGCTTGATGTTTAGAAACACTTGTTGAAGATTGAGCAAATATATGATTATTGTACATACTCAGTCATAAGTCACATTTTTGGCCATCTTAATTTAGTTACAAAGTAGAGACTGCGTCTTACAAGCGAGACCTAATTGGAAGATATTTTTCCATTGTAAAGCACGTAAAAAGTGTGTGTTTGATACATGTACATGATATTTTTATTGTAAGAGCCTTCATCACCAGTTAGGCTAAGAAGTTGCCATATACAATCATGTCCACTAATTGTGATAATGTAACTAAAGTCTATACACTCCTGATAGTATATGATTAATTTACCAGGGGAGATAACTGAGGTAGACGAGGATTCAGCATACAGCTGGGAAGCATGTGTCTACTGTAACAGTGACCAACTCCAGGATGTATCTTCTCAGGGGTACAGTATCGATAAACTGTCCATTTTTACATTTTATTGTCTTAGAAACTAATTTGAGTTAATACTTATAAATGGAGGGTAGTGAAAGACAACAGAGATTATCTGATCCAAAAATAATGTCTAGAATTGTTTAACCATTAGTAATTATAAATGGGGCAGTGGTTCTACTTGCAACCCCTATTTTCAATACTCCATGCATCCACTTCGGGACTGGTAAAAACATTATTATAAGCGATATTGTTATAAGTAGAGTTTACTGTAGTAGTATAATAATGTAACATTCATCCATTATATTGATCTGTACTCTAAAAACTAGATTACAATAACCCCGAAGTAACACAAACTAATACTTGTTTTATTATAGAAAAATTAAGTGCCTAGCTTGTAAGAAAACATTTGAGGAAGCTGTAACAAAAATGAAAATGGAGGTTATAGTTACCTGTGAGAAATCCAACATTCAGGTGAAAGTTGATGTAGGTATTCTCTTTTTATTCTATTTGGTTGTTAATGTTCTCTTTCATTTATAATGTTAACGACCTAAAGTAATTAGCCTTTGTTAACATGAAGGAGTCGGGCCAGCCTGTACATTACATGTAGTCTGATCAAACTCTATACTGTTTGTAACTCGATTATATTTTAATATCAAACACCCCATGCTTAAATTGGACTGTTCCGAATTCAAACATGTTACATAATTTCATCAAGGGTTAAAAATGTTTTGTGTGCAAGCACTCTCAGTTGAGATATACATGTATATTTCATTAACTATTGCATTTTAATTTTAAACATGTATTTTCAAAGATCATCTACTGACAGATTTAAAACTGATAAATTTATTCAGCTATGGCCCTTACAAAAATCATTGACAATTTTAAGTTTAAGTGAAATAAGTCTGTTGGTATAAAGCAGTAAAATTAAGCAATGGCTATAAATAAAATTGCACATATCTCCTGGCTGATATTAGCCTGTCATTATTATGGCTAGAAAAGAAACATGTATCTTAAAAATATTTAAAGATATTTACTTACTTTTTCAGTTAGTTCAGGGGACTATAGAGAATCTGTTACCAGCAGATGAAATGGACGATGAAGGCTACGAGTTATCAAGTGTCCTTAGTAAAAAGATAGGACCATTAACATGTGTAGTTACATCCAGCAATAGTGATATATTTCATCTTAAACAGATTCATTTGTTAACTTAAAAACACCTTTCATTCTTTTTGATACCATTTACCATGTTTAATGAGTCATTTTTTTTGTTGTTCATTGATTGTTTTATTAGCACCACTTTTTAAAGAAGAAAAGTGAAGCTATTGTACTTCTCATTTGCAATGGTTAAACTTTTCTTTAAGGTCCGCTTAAGCAATTTAAGGTCCATCAGTAACTATTAAAGCTGTTCATTTCAAAACGGCAGATGATCCTAAAATTATTTTTATGTTATGCCCCTTGTTCTATGTTGCTTTTATTTAAAGCTGCATTTTATATATATACAAAAAATTTTTGCTGTCAGCCTTAAAATCGATCATTCTACAGTTTCATTAACTTTTATTTTTAACAGTATATTTGTAAATCTAAGCAATTATTGTGCAAAAAAAAATGATTTTAAAAAGAAAATTCCATGGTAACACTTAAGGTGGTATACAAATTCTAACATGCAAATGATTGCTTTAATTAGATCATGTATGCGCTTCATCACAGTGTTAAACTGGACCATAGCAAATGTAAGATTTTCTGTGCAAACAAACTTTTACCATTATAGTATGTTCGTTGATTTTCTATATATGTTGGGGTGACCCAAAGGGCGGAGATTCTGAAGCAAACAAAAATTGCACTTTTGATTTCACCACAATGGGGTTGCAGACATTTACTCTTATAAAGCTCATTTTGATTGTCTAGATACCAAAATTAGAATTGAAGTTGATATAAAACCTATTTTATTAACGAAATGTAGCTATTTCTGTTTTTATCAAATTTATAAAATGCAGCTTTAACTATCAGGCAGTGAGAAAATAGGAACGGGCTGGCTATGGACATGTCTTGTTCAGCTTTATTTGTAAATGACATGAGGATGTCATAATTAATTATTTTTAAATCGGTAAAAATAGTAGGGCTGCATTAAAGTGAAACAAATCACTGGTATTCATGTGCAGTGCATTTAGGTTAAACTCAAGAGGTAAAATTTACCTCTACTAGTAGTACAATGTGTATGATAAAATCCCCATTTTGTTTCTTCCTTTTTATTAATCAGATATCATATGTAGCTCATATTGAGCTCAGGTGAGATATTTTGATTATGCTTTATGAACTTCTTCTTTTTATAAACACTTTATAAAAACTTCTTCTTCTAAATCCCATGGCCATTTTTGATGATCTGGTCCATCGGACAAAAGAACAAGACTTTACTATAAAAAAAATTCAAATGACATGTTTTCTTGAAGCGTTGCACAAGTTTTGATGAAATTAAAGAGGGTTAATCATTGTGTGATACAGTACCAAATTTGACAACATTAATTTAGTCTGTTGAACAAAATAGCCGGCAGAGCTAGAAATAGAAATGCACTTTGCACCAGTTCATTTTTGACTTAAGGTGGCATGCAATAACAGAGGTTATCACATCTTGCAATTAGGTGATGAATTTTACCATGATTCTTTTTAGGTGAGTAATCCAGGGCTGTTATTGATCTCTTGTGTTCTTGTTAAATACAATTGTAAAAAATCCATGAAATGATTAAAATATCATATGCATCTGAATTATTTTGTTTTAACATTGATTAGATGTTGTAATTTGGGAATTATTTTTTTAATGAATTGATTATTGCACTGTTTTTTGCGGTACTTTAATGAATAGTTTAAAATAAAACTAGATAGAGACAAATGACAGAGGGCTAAAAATTGTTATATTTTTTCATGAATTGTAAATAATTATACCCCCGCACAACAAAGTTGTAAGGGGGGTATACTGGAATCAGCTTGTCCGTCCGGCCGTCCGGCGGTTTTTTCTTGTCCGCCCAATAACTTAAGATTCCTTTGACCCTTAGTCTTCATATTTGGCATGGAGGTTAGTCATGATTAGTAGATGACCCCTATTGATTTTGAGGTCACTAGGTCAAAGGTCAAGGTCACAGGGGCCTTGACTTCAAAAGGCTTGTCCGCCCAATAACTTAAGATTCCTTTGACCTACAGTCTTCATATTTGGCATGGAGGTTAGTCATGATTAGTAGATGACCCCTATTGATTTTGAGGTCACCAGGTCAAGGTCACAGGGGCCTTGACTTCAAAAAGCTTGTCCGCCCAATAACTTAAGATTCCTTTGACCCTTAGTCTTCATATTTGGCATGGAGGTTAGTCATGATTAGTAGATGACCCCTATTGATTTTGAGGTCACTAGGTCAAAAGTCAAGGTCACAGGGGCTTTGACTTCAAAAAGCTTGTCCGCCCAATAACTTAAGATTCCTTTGACCTACAGACTTCATATTTGGCATGGAGGTAAGTCATGATTAGTAGATGACCCCTATTGATTTTGAGGTCACCAGGTCAAAGGTCAAGGTCACAGGGGCCTTGACTTTAAAAAGCTTGTCCACCCAATAACTTAAGATTCCTTTGACCCTCAGTCTTCATATTTGACATGGAGGTTAGTCATGATAAGTAGATGACCCCTATTGATTTTGAGGTCACCAGGTCAAAGGTCAAGGTCACAGGGGCCTTGACTTCAAAAAGCTTGTCCGCCCAATAACTTAAGATTCCTTTGACCCACAGTCTTCATATTTGGCATTGAGGTTAGTCATGATTAGTAGATGACCCCTATTGATTTTGAGGTCAAAGGTCAAGGTCACAGGGGCCTTGACTTCAAAAGGCTTGTCCGCCCAGTAACTTAAGATTCCTTTGACCCACAGTCTTCATATTTGGCATGGAGGTTAGTCATGATTAGTAGATGACCCCTATTGATTTTGAGGTCACCAGATCACAGGGGCCGTGACTTCAAAAAGCTTGTCCACCCAATAACTTAAGATTCCTTTGACCCACAGTCTTCATATTTGGCATGGAGGTTAGTCATGATTAGTAGATGACCCCTATTGATTTTGAGGTCACCAGATCACAGGGGCCGTGACTTCAAAAAGCTTGTCCGCCCAATAACTTAAGATTCCTTTGACCCACAGTCTTCATATTTGGAATGGAGGTTAGTCATGATTAGTAGATGACCCCTATTGATTTTAAGGTCACCAGGTCAAAGGTCAAGGTCACAGGGACTTTGACTTCAAAAAGTTTGTCTGCCCAATAACTTTAGATTCTCTTGACCCACAGTCTTCATATTTGGCATGGATGTTGATCATGACTATAAGATGACCCCTATTGATTTTGAGGTCACTGGGTCAAGGTCACAGGGACCTTGACAAAAAAAAAGCTTTTCTTCTCAATTGCTAAAGAATGTCCTGTCCGCAATGTATTGATTTTGACATTTTCACATTTGAAGCATGTAGAATACATAAGTTAGCAATGCACTGGCTTAGTAACCTCAGATTTGGCAGGGAGGTTGTCCTTGAGCTCTAAATGGCCACTGTTGATTCTGACAAAGTGGTATGCGGGGGTATTCACGCCATGATAGTGGCAGTTCTAGTTTACACAAATTTAAGGGTAACAACTTTTGAAAATCATTTATTTAAATATTTGTTGTATTAGCACAACTAACAAATTGTTGTTATGTATATATGAGGGCATTCTTTCTTTTCATTTATTTTTTTTTTTTTTTTGAAAATGATTTTTCTGTAGATTCTCATGCTAGGTTTTGAATTATAGATAAACTGTTTAGGGTTGTAAAATAACAATAAAGATAAAAACAATACAGGATAAAAAGTGTGAAACATTTACACTGTATAAATCAGGCATTTCAACTCACAAATGTCTTCTTATAAATGTAATAAAATTAGAAAAATGTGTTTTTTGTTGTACCCTCATGTTACATTAGGTAAAGTGTTGGCAGCTTATTATATTGTCTTTAATAGTTCTTCTTTATTTTTTATTATAAAGCAATAAAGTTGAAAGTCCAAGATTTGATGTTACTTGTTTTCATTTTTTCACAGTGTATATTTTATAAGACCGTTGCATAGTATTAATCCAGATTAATGTCCATGCTAGAGTAATGATTCCCCAGTTTCGTGTAAATCCAAAGTTTTATGAAGAAAAAAAAGTGATGAAAGGTTAATTTAGCCATTCTGTTTTCAAATGTTTTTGTAACATGTAGCCTTTACTGTAGGGGTGAAAACTTACACCTAATGATAAGTTACTGTAGAGGTCAAAATTTACTTGCAATTTTAAAATTTAGATTGAGGTCAAAATGTGTGCAAACATTTACTGTAGAGTTCAGTATCTTCATGCAGTGCTCACTTTGGAGGAAACCTATACTGTAAAAATGTCAAGTGCCTCTAGTGCAAGTCAAAATAACTAAATTAAAATCCTGTTATGTTATTGCTAAATAGTATGCAGGCGGACCATGAAATGATTTTTGCACAATAGATCCAACTGAGTGAAAAGCAATCCAACATTTTTGGATTAATATGACTGAATGATTGATTATAATATCTAAAATTTGCACACAAGTTACTTGTCTTTACTAAAAACAAATGGTCAAAATCTTGAGAAAAAAAACTTCCATTCCTTCAGGTAAAAAAAAGTCTTGTTTTAGTCCTTAAATTGGTCCAGACTTAATCAAATAGTACATAAACAACAACAAAAAATCTTTCCAGTTTCTTCATATTAAAAAAATAAGTAATGTCCCTCAAATGAGTTACTGAAGATTCTCTAAATGGTACAGCAAGTGTGAGACTAGTCAACATGAAAAATAAATGTAGTATGGAGGCAGAATCTATAAATTAAACAAACTTGGTAATAATATCACTGCTGTTTTGACTACTGCATAAAGCTTGTTTATTTTTATTTGCAGTCTGTTATTTTCTTGCCAGGCTCTTTTATACATTATTATCAAAAAACATTCAGCCTTGCACTGTCGTCATGCAAAATGTCCAGGTAAAAAGGGGAGGCAATTGTGATATATTTTTTTAACACTAGTATAAAGTAGTTGCCCTTGCTGAATTGCAGATTTGTTCTATAAAAAGAGGGAAGAAAATTAACTTATTCGTTTTGTTTAACTTGTATGAATGTTAGTAATATTTAAATCGTCTTGGTCTATTCAAAGAGATCAAAATCTGAGATTTTTTGAAAACATTAAAAAAAAGACCAGTTGTAATATATGACATAATTACATGGTTCTATTGTTTGATTGATTGAATAAACTTGTTTCTATGCGACACCCAAAGGCAGCTGTTTTAGATTTAGTATCATTTTTTTCAAAACAAGAAAACTGTGGAGTAAAAATAATGGTATGTTTGCTTTCATTAAATTCTTATTTAGTTGTTAACTCAATTATTGATCTTTTGTCTTAAATATTTAAGATGATATTTTTTCTATCAAAATGTGTTACAGGATGTATACATTGTATTAATAAGATAAAATTGACAAATAAATATTTTTTGTTTACCCTTTAAATGACTTTACCCACTGTGGGAAAATGTCTCATTATAACTTACCCACTGTGGGTAAATGTCTCATTTTAACTTATCCACTGTGGTTAAATGTCTCATTTTAACTTATCCACTGTGGGTAAATGTCTCATTATAACTTATCCACTGTGGGTAAATATCTCATTATAACTTACCCACTGTGGGTAAATATCTTATTATAACTTACCCACTGTGGGTAAATATCTCATTATAACTTACCCACTGTGGGTAAATATCTTATTATAACTTACCCACTGTGGGTAAATATCTTATTATAACTTACCCACTGTGGGTAAATGTCTCATTATAACTCACCCGCTTTGGGTAAATGTCTCATTATAACTCATCCACTGTGGGTAAATGTCTCATTATAACCAACCCACTGTAGGTAAATGTCTCATTATAACTCACCCACTTTGGGTAAATGTCTCATTATAACTCATCCACTGTGGGTAAATGTCTCATTATAACCAACCCACTGTGGGTAAATGTCTCATTATAACTTACCCACTGTGGGTAAATGTCTCATTATAACTTACCCACTCTGGGTAAATGTCTCATTATAACTTACCCACTGTGGGTAAATGTCTCATTATAACTCACCCGCTTTGGGTAAATGTCTCATTATAACTCATCCACTGTGGGTAAATGTCTCATTATAACCAACCCACTGTAGGTAAATGTCTCATTATAACTCACCCACTTTTGGGTAAATGTCTCATTATAACTCATCCACTGTGGGTAAATGTCTCATTATAACCAACCCACTGTGGGTAAATGTCTCATTATAACTTACCCACTGTGGGTAAATGTCTCATTATAACTTACCCACTCTGGGTAAATGTCTCATTATAACTTACCCACTCTGGGTAAATGTCTCATTATAACTTACCCACTCTGGGTAAATATCTCATTATAACTTACCCACTCTGGGTTAATGTGTCTACTTACTGCATTTACAAGAAAATAAACATATGATACATGCTTGCATTAAATCATACTGTGACTGGATTTTACTTGTACTTGCAAAACTTTGTTTATGGACTGTGCAGTCTATCTCCATTCATAACCTTCTGACCAAACTTCTTTTTTGGCAACTTGATAAAGAAATCCTTTGAATTGGCAAAGTTTCAAATTCAAAGCAGGAAAAGTCCAATTTACAAAAGTTACATAATTTGTAAGTGAACATATTGTATTCAAATACTTGTTTTGATTCATTTTGATTTCTTTTGCATAAGTCATTCATTTCTCAAAAAAAAAATCTGCATAAGAAATTAAGAAATGAGTTATTTTCCTGTGGTACGATTATAAACTTTAAAACTGAAAATAATAAGTTTTCAACAAATTTGTCCATAAATATCTTAGAAAAGAGCAGATGTAAATTAAACTTTTTCTCCCATGGCTAGGTTATATGATTTATTCCTATTATTGTCTGTGCTCAAAACTATTTTATCAGCAGTAATTTATTTCTTTCCTTGTCAAAAACAGTTGTAAAACTAGATCCTGTCCTGAAATAATCGATCTTTTATGATCTATTAATGTGATGTCAGGTTTATACATGCATTATGTACATATATACACACATGCTACAGATATACCAGATCATGATCCAGTCATTTAACTTTAAACATATTTGTCAAATTAAATTTATCTTAAATTTTCCCAACCGTTGTTACCATACAGGAGGATATTTCCACAATAAAAGCTTTATTGACAGGTTTAACATCGTTAAACTGGTGTACTGACCTTTGATTGGTCAACCATGTCAAAGTTGTAAAAAACGTAAAAAATGTATGTTTAGTATACAGTAGTACAAATTATCATATCGGATGGTTTACTCCTCTACCTATATGGTAAGTTATATTTTTAATGTTTGTAATTTATACAAAGCTTGTCAAATTAACAAGTTGATACTCTTATAGGTAAGGAAATGTTTTATAGATGTTTATTTTCTTTAATGGCTAAATGTGTACAGTAAAAAAAATAAGATACAGGTATATATAGAGAAAATGTTTAAGTGCTAATTACGTTAAGTGTGTTACAAAGGTTGCTCTTTCATTAATAATGATTCTTACTTTAACTTGTTATATTTATGTACCTATATAAAATCACACACATGCCTTTTAAGGACCACCCCTGTAAACATTCTTATTTAATTTCTTTTAGTACTTTGAGTGAAGACTAGCTTCTTATTATATTGCTTCAGTTATATTCTGGTACAAAGGTTGTCTTTATTATTTTTTTTAAACTGTAACAAGATGTAGATTTTCAGTACAGACAAACCTGATTCTTTAGACCAAGTCAGGGTACCCAAATGAGAAAGAACGAAAAAATGTAAGCTTTGTTGACAATTTGTGCATTTAATCATTTGTACATCAAGAATGGTACCACAATCTGCATTGTAAGGATAATATCTCGGGCTAAGCACTGTGAAGGTGGTATCACAATCTATGTGCTTTAAGGGTGGTATCACTAATTCAGCACTGTAAGGTTGGTATCACAAGTTCAGCAATGTAAGGTTGGTATCACAAGTACAGAGCTGTAAGGGTGGTATCACAAATTCAGCACTGTAAGGTTGGTATCACAAATTCAGCACTGTAAATGTGGTATCATAATTATGTTCAGCACTGTATGGGTGGTATCATAATTATGTTCAGCACTGTAAGGGTGGTATCATACAAGTTCAGCACTGTAAGGTGATATCATATGTTCAAAACTGTAAGGGTGGTATCACAAGTTTAGCACTGTAAGGGTGGTATCACAAGTTCAGCACTGTAAGGGCAGTGTCATACAAGTTGAGCACTGTAAGGGGGTATAACAAGATTAGCACTGTAAGGGTGGTATCACAAGTTGAGCACTGTAAGGATGGTATCACATGTTCAGCACTGTAAGCGAGGTATTACTAGGGTGGTGTCATAATTATGTTCAGTGATGCAAAGGTGGTATTATAGTTATGTTCAGCAATGTAAGGGTGGTATCATAATTATGTTCAGCACTGTTAGGGTGGTATCATAAATATGTTCAGCACTGTTAGGGTGGTATCATAATTATGTTCAGTGATGTTAAGTTGGTATCATAATTATGTTAAGTGATGATTTGATGGTGGTATATGAGAAGGAAATAATTGTTCTATAGTTGATGAATAGCATTTTGTTGAAATAATTATATTTTCGAGCCTGAGGTATATTCACAGCTGTAATCAGAGAAAATGTTTGGTTTTGTTGTATCATGATGGATGGTGTAATTATCAATTTTTGTGCACATATTTGTTATTTATTTTGATGTATTTGATACTGGTGTCTTAAATGTATGTCTTGCTTGTGGTATCCAACAATGGCTTTCACATTTTTGGGGTTTTTATAATTATGCTCATTAATTATATTTTTGTTTCAAAACATTTTATGGTTTTTATTTTATTTCAATGTTTTGACTTAAAAGGACTGAGATTTTAGTAAGAGATTGAATGGTTACGTTTTTTGTTTTTAGCAATTGT